AGACATGACTCCGTGTCACTTTTGTATAATTCCAAAAATAAAAGAGCCGTCGTTTTAAAATCATAGGTGACATCAAAAGTGCATCGGTGAAAGAGCTAAACGAGTTTGAGAAGTGTTTCGAGGATTTGAAGAAGCGCTGGCACAAGTGCATAAGATCTAATAGGGGCTATTTTGAAGGCAACAACATTAACGTAGCCGAATAAATAAATAGGTAATAAACAAAACGATGATTCACGTTATTTTCTGAACACCTCGTATATATTGGCAATAGCTAACGCTAGTAATAATAAAACTTTTTTAGACTGGAGTGTCCATCCTGTAATATGAAATGAGTAAAATTTTCCTGCCGATGCTACGCAACAAAATACGGGCTCCCGGTGTGTAATTAGACAGGTATGCAATAGAAAAGAAGAAAAACGAGTTTGCTATCTGTATGTTTCCAGCAGTTATACATAATCTCTATTAGCAAATGGGGCAAATGGCTCTACTTATATTACGCGATTAGATTGGATCCTTCCGCATTGGACAACGTATGTACTCGTGAAATAACAGGTAGAAGCCATTATAAGTTTTGTTACAACAAGCAAATCCGAAATAGTTCATAGCGAATTCTGAATTACAACCTGCGCATGTCCTAGGTAAGTATAGTCCAGGACTGATTCCGAACTATTATGTTGATGTTTCATTATGCTGGAAGTAGAGAGAATTTATTGTATTTTATTTTTTGTCTCCTGTATATCTCCCTGGTACATCATATATTTTGGAAAACGATAAATTAAAAAAAAATTATCAACATTTGGCTATTTAGTTAACTCTCTTTATGTTCACATGAATCCGTTCCAAAGTAATTTTCATCGTGGCATATTCTTGAATTATGAATAATAAACGGCAAAAACCTGACAGATATGAAAAACTATCGCCGCAATGTTATCAACATTATGATTGATACCATTTATTCTGTTCATGACCATGCGCTAACAAATTTCAACGCTTTCTTTTTTCTTTGCTTGAACCAGTTCGAAATCATCGGAGGATATTGGAGCCGGTTCTAAATTTTCCTGCCACAGAACAAAGATGATAAAACAAACACCTTCAAACAGTGTGCATCTGGTCTACTTCTGCTATGGATAGATAGAAATAATTTCCGTAAACAGTTAGCCCACACTTGAGACCGTAATAATAAAATCACGGTTTTATTAATCATAAATGTACAGCAAGCCAGTGATTTAATGTTACGAAGTATCCATCAATCATAAATTGCTAATTAGCAATAACTCAGTATGTGTGAAATCAAATCTAAAAGTTTCATAACCATTGAGATCTTGAGGCCTTGCTTTGATTGAAATATTGGCATTTCACACACTAATAATTGGCTGTCGGGTATATGAAGCATGAGCACGTCGGTAATTTTGCCAAAATCCAGTCGATAACCTTTCCTAATTTTCACAGGGGCTGTAGGAAAATATGTTATACTTTGAATGAGAGGTTTGATGCTCTAGATCAGTGGTGCCAAAACCTTTTTCTTACAAAATGAGATAAGAAAAAACGCAAAAACATGCTTACAAAAATCTAATAGGAATAAATTCAAACATTAAATCTTTGCGATTCTGGCTTGTGTATCCCTCATTTTGGAGGCGGTAGGGCCAGGAAGAATAACAATCTTTTCCGACAGCCAGGCTGCAATAAACGCACTAAGTGCCTGTACGATTACTTCGAGCCTTGTATTGCAATGCAGGGAGGCTCTGGACTCTGGATTGTCTAGCAGCAAGGCATCCGGTATCGTTACCGTGGGTACCGGGGCACGCTGGGATAAATGGCAATGATATGGCGGTCGTTCTGGGGAAGACAGGATCATCCAGCAAGCTCGTTTGTCTTGAGTCTGCTTTAGGGGTGCCCACGCAAGGAGTTAGGAGGAAACTGGAGAAGTGGATTGCAAGACAATACTCTAAGAAATGGAGAAGCATCTCTAGACATCTCCGTCAGGCAAGGGAGCGCATTGTAGGGCCCAGCGCTAAGAATGAACGTTTCTGCTTGTCTTTGGATAGAGCTTATGGTTGCTGGTGGGACTGTTGTCTGGCCATAACTCGTTAAGGCGCCACCTGCATGCGATGAGGGGTGCTAAGGATGCCTCGTGTGAGCGCTGCGGAGTAGACGAAGATACCTCGGCGCACGTTCTGTGTCGCTGTGAGGCTCTGAACTACTACAGGCAGACTATACAGTGGGTCCATCACTTTGGACTTCACTAGAATGGTGAGGCTTGAGGTCTAAGGAATATAGAGGCACACAAGAGCTCATTTAAGCGACCTATGCGCTGGCTCCTTATGGTGGTCATGATTCATTCATTCAAACATTAATAACGTAAAGTGTAACTTCTTCCGCAATACCACAGTGCTAAAAATAGTGTACTGAAATCTTTTCCAATTAGGTACGAGAAGGGAAACGCTATCAAATATTTTCTACCAATTTCCCAGAGCCCCGAATATTTTCAGGTATTTCTGCCTGCTGTCAAGATGGTCGACAGCCTCTTGTAAATTCCACCTAAAAGCTCCTTATCAGTACTAAGCTTGAGTAGCTGGTCTTGTAATACGACATTTGCCATTTTCCTTTCATCGAATGGGTTTATGATCCATGATGATATTTCCATCGTCAGAATATCATCAAATCTGTTTTTAAAGTCATCGTGCAGGATACTTAAATTTTGAACATTCTCTAAATATCCTCTTCAAGACATTCTGACAAGTTTCTAAACTTGTTATAAGTTTAGAAACTTGTACCGGATATCGAATATACAACTTCTTAAAAGCGATAGTCGCCGACCTTCTGAAAATATTATCTGACAACATATTTGTTACTTTCTATCGAAAGAGATAAATTTTCGTTCTTTACTTGCCCCTTTGGGAATCACTGCTCTGGATATACAGGGTCCATCAGAAAGAACGCATGTTTTTCGTATGGGTACTACATTGAGTGGGCTGGTCAAGTGTCGGTGGGAAAGGGTGAGTTGAATAGTGGGAGAAGTGCCGTTCCAGTTGGCAAGATGGTTTGGAACGTTGAGCATCGTGTGTTCACTGTACGTCGGTACTTTCAAAATGGCGAGTCTGTCGTTCGAACGCAACCTGTGTTTGGCGGTCACTTCCGTGTGCCACATTGAGGGACAGCACCAGACCGTAACACCATTTTGAGATGGGTGGAAGCATTCAACACAACAGGTAATGTGATGAAGAAAAAACTGGCAGGGCGAAACCGTACTGTTAGAGCCCCCGAAAACGTAGACAGAGAGAGTTGACACGCTGCAAAGCCCGAATCGTTCCGTCCGTTTGCGTGCCAGTTCCCTTGGGATCCACGCGTCCTCTGTACGTTGCATCTTGAAGAAGGATTTAGTGTTCCATTCTTACAAAATCCAAGTTTGTCAACAACTGTTGCTAGGGGATTATGCACAACGTGTTAATTTTGCACAGCTCATGATTGAACAGTTGGATAACAATGACATGACGATGTTTATGAGTGATGAAGCACATTTTCATTTACATGGATACGTCAATAAATAAAATGTCGATATTGATCTCCAGTGAACCTCCAACAGTTCCATGAGCACCCCCTGTATACCCAGAAAGCTACAGTTTGGTGTGCAGTAGGCCGAACGATGATTATTGGCCCTCATTCTTTTGAGGATGATGGAGAAACAACTACTGTGGATTCAGAGTGTTACCATGGCCCCCTCGCTCCCCGGACCTGTCAAGGTGTGATTTTTTTAAGGGGCTACCTGAAATCAAAAGTTTACCAAAACAAGCCTCGGACCCTCGTCAAATTGAAGGAGGAAATAAGAAGAGAAGTAACCCAAATTGTGGCCGACGCAATGGGCTCATTTCGGGAGGGGCTTGATTCCTGCATTTCGGCTCACATGGCATATATTTCTGAGTGTTTTCATGTAATAAAATGTTCTTTCCCATACTTATTTTGACTGTACTACTCATTTAAAAAACATGCGTTCTTTCTGACGGACCCTGTATAAAGTAGTACACACTTCTTGTTGCAGCTGAACCGACAATGGAAACCTTCCGCATTGCCAGAATGCAAGGGATCAGAATATGACACAATAGTATAATATAATTTTGTAGCTTAATTAACGAAATAGTAAACTACTGCGGTTATAGAAACAAAAGCGTATGTGTAATTCGAGCTTTCGAACTGGATTTTCTCCGATGTCTATCCAGTATAGCGTATCGGCTTCTGGCAATATAGCCAATCTTACTTCTTAATTATCGAGAAACTATAACACAAAATAGTCTGAAATTATCGGCATTTATAATTATTGCAAAATGACGAATCTAATGACCAAAGCTGGGTTCGGAAATCACTTATTTCGTTATTACTTATATAATATAATTATCATGTAGTCCACAATTTTATATAATCAAAAATCTCACTTCTCAATATTGATAAAGTTGTCAATATTGCTACAATCAAGGGCCCAAATCAAAATCTTTATTATTGAGGCAGGGACGTTTTGCATCCGTGACTTTCTTGGCGATCTTTATATTTGTGTCACTGCTAATTATCGCTAGACATACTGCTTTCGTCCGTCCTTCCATAGACAGACAACCATAGACAGACAACCATAGACAGACGTTTAGTGCTTTTTGGTAACTCATCAGCATGGTCTAGGCTTAATGCTTGGGAGAACGAACAAAAGCATATCAACTATACGAGGAATGAGATCTTTCAAAATAAGACACTGTAAAGTGCGATATATTACCAGAGTCGAATGTGAAGGTGAATAGCAGATATCCGTTGAAAATTAAAGATCTTAGTTCGCGATGATAGCCCAGTCACCACTGTGACCGCTAGAGGCTGACGATTCTGGCGGTATAGCAGATGTGGTCTACTCGCTACTAAACAAAACCTCCAGATGATAGATGGCGCTTTGCATTGTCTTATTTTGATACTTATCAGTACCTTTCTTGAAATCTACGAATACATTAAGTAATTATGAATCTTACCTAGACTTAGCAACAACTTTGACATGCTGAGTGTCCAGCGTGCCAATAGGAGTGTTTGGCTTGTATGGCAACACTTTGTCGTACTCGTCAGACCACGGGGCCATGCTGAGTGCTTGCAGCGTGTACCCGGAGAGTTGCAACTGTTGTTTGGCGGTAATCTGGACCAGCAGATCCATCATAGGGGTACTGCAACAAAAAGAAAATGCATGAAAAAGAAACTCGTATATACTAGTATTTTGATGGCACAGAACTGTTTTTTTTGTGCTAGGAAGGTTATTTATGTTATTGATTTATGCACTAGGGTCATTTTCTGAGTAAGAACCGTTTTGTAATGAAATCAGAAAAATTTTTGAGTGTAAATTGTATCACAGACTAAAATATGAACATTTTCCATTTTCAATAAGTAGGTCAAAATCATTTAAACATTAGCCTGCCAGCTTTTGGATCAACATGTTGTCATTTTACAAGCGCTCTTCACCAAGAAATTCCTCAGGTTTTGGAAAAAGATGAAAGCCTGATGATACTAGGCCAGCGCTGTATGTCGGATAATCTAATTAATCCCAACGAAACTTGTCCAGTTGCATCTGTGTACTTGCCGCAACGTGAGGCCGAGTGTTGTCATGAAGCAGAACGACGGCCGCTAGGCCGTTTTTAAGATGGCGGCAAATGACCCAGCCCTATCATGATGCCAATTTGAGCTTATCATTAGTAAGCAATAATCTAACGATATCACCAAAAAAATTTACTATCGTCAAACTTGTATTTCCTGACCTGCGAGCATTGGTTAAATTGTGTTTTCGTAAATACGTATAACGGTATATTTAAACTAAAGTAGTTTTTGGTTCGCATTTGAAAATAAGTGGGCGGTGGATAAAATAAATTTGGGAACCTCTGCTCTAAATGGTGCCTTATGTAATTATTACAACACAATAAACTGCACTGACATGTGGACTGCAATCTGAAAATTAGAGTTACTGAAATAAAATACCAGTAAATTAAAATTACTCAAATTATCTCCTTATTAAGTATTAAATCTCAACACACTGAATAGTGATCATAATAGACATTGTAACTGTGCATCTAGAAACTTTCCACCTAGAAAATTTGCGCTTTGTATGACGTGAATAGAAGCATAGCGTAACAGTATCTTTTGTGTCATTTTTTAATTCTTGGCACTTTTTCCAGTTATACAAATACAATGCACTTCTCCGGTAAGAAAGTAATTCCATTTGCCAGTTTCGCACACGAGTTGTCGCGAAATATTTTTATTCTGTAGCTGTGCAGCGTATAATAATAAAAAAGCTCGATATACCGATACAACCGTAACTGGCATATACGTGCGACTTTCTTCAATAATAATTTGTACAGCTATTGTACCGGAAATTGACCGTTTTGGACGTGTATCCGGTATTTTAAACTCAAGTCAGTGTATCTGTTCTGTTACTCATACCATCACTTGTGCTAAAACTATTGATTTCGCTCAATAGCGGTCAAGTTTTATTTAAACTGAAAGATAATTAAAACTAGTTTTGGTATTAAGAGAAAGTAGAAAGAAAGAAATTATGATAGTTATAGTTACCTAAAGATACCTTGATACCGAAAGAGCCGTAATAGAATGTCTGGAAAGAAGAGAACATAGCATCCATTGATACTCATCAGAATAACGTATAGGATGAAAGTTTCGAGTTAAAAGTTTCCCTTGAAATTTCTAAGCGATTTTGATGTCTGATCTAGTCGAAGGGTGAACCGCACCCAGAAATCTGTACAATAATGAGAAGTATTTTCCCGTAATTTTCAGTAATTTCTATGAATGCCCAATAGTTCTCCTTGTTAAATAATTCCCGCATAATTCCCTCTAATGCACCGTAATTCCCCCTAATGCACTAGAATTCCCCGTAATGCACTAGAATTCCCCCAATTCTCTCGTAATACCCGCAGATTCAGCAAAATTCCTGCCAGGAATCACTGGAAATTGTAGGCAATAATTTCCATTGACAGCTGCTTGTATCATAAAAACTGACTTATAAAATATAATTATTTCAAGCTCCTAATTCATCTTTTTAGATTCCTATATACCTACGAATTGAAACACAGGCTATAAATGTGTATAATGATAAAAAGTACAGCACAGTACTAAATTGAAGTATACGGCCCAACGTACATAGAGATCAGAGATCATATGACTATTGTAGGTGTATTAAATGATGTCTAAAATCCTCTTTAGGAGTATTCAGAGCACTCATATATAAACTAAGGTTTGATCCTTCCAGTCATTTTATTGAAGAAAAAAACCATCACAGAGTGGATATTATTAAACGGCATATTTTTTGCTACAGTGTATTAAAACGTTAAATAACACCTACCAGGTGTCCGGCTATAAATTGACCCCCCTCTTACTTTTGTATGACCTATAAAAAAAGTTGTCTACAAAAGTTATAGGGTCTAGTATGAAGTTTAGTATGTAATTTTTTTTGTGCTACCAAATAAAGTTGTATTATTTTTTAATTTTAAATATATTTGGGAGAAGATTTTTTTCTGATTCAAAATATACATATATGCTTATCATACTTATTTTCATTAGGTTGGCGAAAAAAAAGTTTTTGTGTCATTTACTCATGTGGAACTGAGATCGAAACAGTTTGCCCCTAGCTGCCTATGCAATTATATGGTATAATACCATATACGTAATTATAGGGTATATGATTAAATGACACATCAAACGCAAGTTTTTGACTAACGTAATAAAAATAAGTTTAACAAATCATATACATTTGAAATCCGAAAAAGGGACTGACATTCTCACTAAATATATACAGGGCGCTCCATTTAAAAAAATACAACTAGATAGACCTCAAACAAGGCTTGGAACTTCAACCAGGTGATGTAACAGTGTTGCCAAATTTACTATGTGTAGTTTCGCGGATATACATAAATATGACTCCTTAAGAAAGAACCAGGATCAAGAAACAAGCACATCCTGCTTAGCTTACAGCTTATATTAAGCAGTTTTTACTCTGTAGGCTTAAAAAATGCCTTCAATGCCTCGCGTAATTCGCCATCGCAATTACTGTTAATTCCTAAAAAAGCCCGTTGTGCGTACAACTAATTCCTCAGTGAATGACCCCTCAGATCTAGTTACCATGGAGCAGGCAAATAAATCGTGGATCCCGTGGATCGCTGATATAAATGAACGCTATTTTTGTTCAATACTTAAGTTCCAAATACCGTAAAAACTTGAAATTTGCAAAAATATTTACAGCTTAGTTAGACGTTTACCCAAAACTGAAATTGAGAACATGTCCCGAGATCAAAATGTGACGCCACCAGACAAGTATTTTTAAGGCAAAAAGAGATTCTAAAGAAGGTACACTTTGCAGTAATTTTCCAGGATTAAACAACGAATTCGGACTAGGTTAGAAGAAGCCCAGCCCATATAGTGTTAGGCGATTGTTTGTTAGCAACATCAACTGATTATTGTTTACACAAAATTTGACCTTGGACGAAAATTGTATACTTTTCCCCGAGTAGACATCTGCTTTTATCGCGCTTAAAACTTAAAACTCACGTAAACATGACAACATGAGCAAAATAAAGCTTACCCTCAGTTGCACAAAGCCGCAGCATAAAACACCAGATATCAGCCCAGCTGTTCTCAATTTGCCACCATAGCGTTGCCACGTTTAGTCTTTCAAGAAATATCACCGGAATATAACAATTCATATTTTTTAATTGTCTTCGGTGCTTATTTCAGATGTATTTTGAGTACAAAACCAGAACAAGAATAGCTCAAGACGTTTTCAGAAATCGCTGTGATGTTTTTCTCTTTCTGAAAAATTATTTATCGTAATTTTTGCGAGTTAGGTGAAGTTGGTAGGTTTTGAAGCTGATGACATTGCATCACTGAAACCAAATACTTTTCGGTGCAGGTGTTACAAACACTTTATAACAACATATTGGAGACAAATTAGTACTCTTTATTTAGATATCACCACGTATAACATTTTACGATTATTTTTGCACTGCTCAGTGCTATCATCAATCGATTACGTGAATGCAGTTGTTGATTTTGAACAAGATGTGGCAACACCGCAGAAAACTGGTAGCCACTCGAGTTTGTGTGTCGCTCTAGATGATTGATAAAAACATATCCTCTGTTTACGTCTTCTACCCGTATTCGAATTCACTGGGGTTAATAGACTAGTCGAAAGCGTTCAAGACACAACTGAAACATCTAGCCGAAAGCTAGGTTGGCTTTTTGGGTCTCGTGCAATACCATGCAGAGGACTGTGTCCAGGAAGAACGAGCATTTTTGAAATAGAAGGAACTCGAATGCTAGAGGACACTGCTGCGTAGGCATTTTAAGACAAACCGTGTGATTAGAATGGATGATTGGAAGTATTTTACACTGTCTGTTCAGAAATGAGAGACGACGATGGACGATACACCTATATTTAAAATTGTCCAGATGAGTAAAATTGGAAGCAAAAGCGAAGTTTTAGTCTGCTGTGCGATTCCTGAGTCTGGGGTTCCAGCATGTTGGCCAAGCTCGAGGAAAAGCTGGACACGCCGAGCTTCATAACCAACGAGCCTTACTAAAACTGCGTAACTTTATTAACGCTCATGGAAGGAAACGAAGATATAATGGCATGCGAGAGCTCTGGAATAGTTGGAACAGAATGACATTAATTATGTATCGAGATGAGGTTCAATTCAATCGACTTTATTGTAGCAAGTACCACAGTTACAAATGACGAAATCTGGCCAATTCCACTTTATACTTACCCATGCTATAAGCTACCTTAGCCCAAAACTTAAACTCAAATAATCATTAATAGAAGAAATTTTATTCAAAAGCATATCGCCTATTCGGCCTTTGTACCAATCATACGCATCAGGAAGAGACATAAAATGAACATAAAATTCTAACTGGAGAAAAAAAAAACAACTAAACACCTAATTAACAGATCTTGTTTTTTCTTGTGAAAAGTTTCTAATTCTAATAGAGTGTTGGTCAAACGAATTAATGAACTTCACCACATTGTACATGAAAGAGCGTTGAAATATGGCTGTCATGTATTGTGAATAAAATTCCTATAAACAAGATTTTGCCTAAGGTAAAAGGGAATAGAGGTTTTCAATATTTTGATGAGACATATCACAAAGTTGTTGCCACGCCTTTTTTTTAT